ATCAAAACCTTTATTCACTAATAATTACCAAAAATCGTAGTTCTATCTCCTGTTATCAATGCATTCACATTGCCCGCCATGAACTTCCGGGGAACGATCCTCTTCTACATGAACCACGTGACGATAACCGTTTTTGGACTTCCGTTGTCGTAACTCTTCTATTATATGGCTCTGCACTACACCACTGCGTGCCAGGGTCACCAGTGTAGTGCCGAGAGATAGGGAGTCAGAGGCGGTGCAATGAAGAAAAGGGAACTTTATTTGAGAGCAGCTAAGGTCATGTTGTCCGGTTGCAGTCCGGGAAGAAGAAAGTGAAGTCAGAAGGCAGGGCACACAACATATAGTAAACACATAACATGTCCGTGTGGGAACAATAGCCCCAACTGTAGTTCCAAGTATGAATTATGTCCCAGTGTATTAATAGGTGGTCACCACAAGCCATTGATTCATAAATAATAAATAAATAAATAATTTCGTGCGTAGCATAACAGATTATCAGGTATCCGTCCAGTTGCACTGACTGCTGCTGTTTAATCAGAGTTGGTCCTCCTCACCAGTAGAGAGCGCTGCGCCCGGCTCACACTGAACATAACACAGGCAGACCCTCCTGCCCTCTCGTTGGGTGTTACCACATGGGCCAGCGGATGAGGACACCAACGTGGTTCACAGAGAGCAGACTGACGGAGTTGTTTTTATTCCACATCATATGTGTGGTATAATTGATTATTAGAAATGACTGAAACTAAAGCAGAAACGGCTCCAAAGCCCGCCAAACAGCTGCTGGCTCTGAATCCCAAACAAGAGTCCGAGTTCAAGAAGAAGGTGCAGGAGGCGAAGAAGAACAAATCCAGCAAGGTGGGTTCCGAGGAGCCGTGGCCCTGCTGACACGAGGCTGCTGTGGCTCCTTCACTCTACACTGTCTAATTCCCTTTAGATGTAACAGGTGTTACGACACATTTCGAACCCGTGGGATAAAGTTGTGCCCTATTTTAATATTTCCGCTATGGAACTGACGTTGGCTCTTTTACCATGTTTAAACAGTATCGTTGGTGCTGTTTTAGATACATGTGTTTCATAATTGCTTCTTCGTTATGGAGCACACATTAAGTCCGGCACTGCGAAAGTTGTTAGTATTTCTTGTATAAGATGGCTTCATAGTAACATTAGGCCTCATGTTTGGACGAGGTCTCACATTTTGATAAATGCAGAAGCAGAAACACTACTCTTCGACCCTTCCTAAACATTCTAAATATTTTACAAAGGGTTATTCGGCTCCAAAGCTATAATGATCTCCTACATGATATGACTATATCAATACTATACAGAATACAAAAAAACGTATGATTTTTATTTTGACTTAAAGCGTTTGAATACATTAGTCAAAATGTCAACATGACACACAATGTCACTTCCTCCAAAAAAAGATATTGATGTATAGTATACATCAATATCTTTTTTTGGAGGAACTTTGTTGTTCCTAAATAAATATATCTGTATATATTGTATACAGATATATTTATTTAGGAACAACAAAGTTGATGGTTGTATTATATAATAATCCCCACTCATACTTGCAAGAGAAAAACAAGTATTTGTCATCTATTTGAGTGTCTTTTTCTGGGTATTTTGAAAGAGGCAAACTGACTACACGTGTAGAAATGTTGATTTCTAACAATTAGTATCTTTGCCCTCTTTATTTGATTATATCATTCATATGTATTGTTTTGTTTACAGGAGAGCCATTTGGCCCCTGGAGTGGTTTATGTGGGTCACCTTCCTCACGGGCTGTTCGAGCCTCAGCTCAAACCTTACTTCGAACAGTTTGGGAAAGTCCTGAGGCTGCGGCTGTCCAGGAGTAAAAAGGTAAAACGGATGAAAAGTACAAACACAAAGTCTGATTCAGGGCATTTGATTTATTGAGCATTCACAAGATATTTTTAAGATTGGTAACTTATGTTTAGAGGTCAATATCTCCTATGTTTGTTGTTTGAGATGATGTCTGACAGGAGTGTTTGAAGTAACGCTGCAGAATGTTGGCTCGGTCTGAAAATGATCTCAGGTGAAACGGTGATCTGAGGTCAGATAACTGAGCCTAAAGGATCCAGGCACATTAAGCTTATTTCCTGCTCATACATTGGCAGAGCGATAAAACCCATGTGCCAACAAAAGCATTTCATTTATCTCCAATATTGAATCGGTAACAGTGTGCGAAAAAGCACACGTCCCACCGTCCGGGACGTGTTATTTACGATATCGGACAAGTAGATCTTTCAATTGACTTGTCCGGTGGACAAGTGACGTTTTTCGCCCTAATTTATTGACAAATTATTGATAAATTCAGTTTACAAAAGGCAGAATTCATTCGCAAATTGTCCGTGTCCGCCATTGTTCGTTTAGAAATGTTAGTTTCGGTTCTGCTTGTCGATTCCCCAGGAAATGCATCTCGCCGCTTTCTGTAGGCCTACTGTTAGACGGGGGCGGGACGGGACCATGGATGTATAATAAGAACGACGACGTGTAGCACAGTGGCAGGGTTGGGAAGCAAAACTCGGTTCCGAGTAAGAACAAATAACAATTGTCCAGTACCGGGATTAATAAGAGTTGTGAGGACAGGAGGCGAGGCCGAGCCCCGCGGACTGCAGCTCTCTCTCTCTATGCTCCGTATCAGCTGCACGGTGCAGCTCAGCGTCTTTCTCTCTATCTACACACAGCAGATTCGCTGCCCATTTAACAGCCTCATCTTTGTCAAACTTTCTTATGTTCTTTCTCTAACACGTAATGAAGGTTATTAAGCGTTTTAGCTCCTATGTTGTTAATATTGACCACCATTTCCTTTATGAAGTAAAGCAGCCTCCCTGTCTGTGTCCTCGCGCTGTCCTCACATCCCCGGACCCCCAGACTCGGAGGAGCACAGGGATGTCAGTATTGTTTATGAAGCAGGGTATAGAAAGTACATTATTGAAATGAAAATACTATTTATTTACTTTTACAAACAGTGAGCAGCTGGGCAGCTGCAGCATGTGTATTGCAGGACATGTGTAAGCGTGCAAGCGTCTTCTAGTTGTAGAAAAGCGCTAGGCCTATACATCTAATGTATTATTATTATTATTATTAGGCCTATGTGTTGGACATGTGTGGTTGGACTCTGTTTCACAGGCAGGTTGCAGTGTAACATCAGAGGAGACTGGGCCAATTGTACATTCTCAAACTGCACCACTTAGAACTAACTAAACAATGCAGAGATTATTTTTATATATTTTATTCAATAACCGTAACGAAATTCAACAGTATGAAGTGATTTGTAAATACAAAGGAATACAGATTTGACTTAATGTTTTCATAAATATATTTTTCTCCCAGTTTGTCATAGGACTTATTTTTACTCTCTCAAAGAACCGGAATCGAGAACCGAAAATAACCGGAATCGAAAAGCATAACCGGAATCGTTAAAATCCAAACGATACCCAACCCTTTGTGTGATGCAGTAAAAGCTTACCGCTCACTTACGTTAGCGGTGTCGTAAAAAACGTGGAAAAATACGATGGCGAAGAAGAAGATTCCAGTGGCCCCAATTTTTGTCCATTCTGGACAAGTGAAAAATGTATTCGGACAAGTAAATTGCCAAACTCACTTGTCCATGGACAAGTACTCTCTAAAAACTTTTTCTCACACTGGGTAAATGGAAACGCATCTCAAAGATACGCCAACTGGCCTTGATCTAAAGTATGTGAATGCTGTGAAACTATTGCTGTGATATTCATCTCTCACTCGTCTCCTTATCTCAGACAGGTGGCAGCAAAGGCTATGCGTTTATCGAGTTTGATTGTGATGAAGTTGCCAAAATTGTTGCAGAGACCATGAACAATTACCTCATGGGAGAGAGACTCATCAAATGTGAGTATTGCTCATGTACAATTCTTAAAATGACCAGCATGATTGAGATGGTGGACCTCCATTCTTTTAGATTCTCTCAGTTTGCTGAATGAGATTTTAGAGTTTGAAGTTGCAGAATGTTGGCTCGGTCTGAAAATGATCTCAGGTGAAACGGTGATCTGAGGTCAGATAACTGAGCCTAAAGGATCCAGGCACATTAAGCTTATTTCCTGCTCATACATTGGCAGAGCGATAAAACCCATGTGCCAACAAAAGCTTTGAATAATCGACAGTATTTAATCATTCAAAGGAAATCCATTTTAAAATGGGAAGTCAGATTGGCTTTGATGAATATGTGTGCTGGGAAACTCTTAAATTGTGTTCACCCGTGTTGGAGCCAATTAGGATGTACCTAGTAGATCATGTCGTTGCCATGCTGGTCAAATGTCAATCTGGAATTATAGTATGAAATGTTCTTTTTATTTTTTTCAAGATCTCTTTACAGTTAAGATATTATCACTTGCGCTTTTTCCAATGTACACACAGTGAATGTCAATTGCTCCAAGTTCGTCAGACCAATTAGGCATGTTGTTGTTTGGCAGGTCACGTGGTTCCCCCAGAGAAGGTGCATGAGAAGATGTTTGTTGGCTCTCAGAAGGTATTTAAAAAGCCCTCATTACCTGCTGTATCGCGCTACAACAAGACGCACACAGAGGAGCAGGTCACCAAGATGAAGGACAAACTGCTGCGGAAAGAAGCAAAGCTCCGCAAGAGAATCGCAGCACATGGCATCGACTACGACTTCCCTGGATTTGTGAGTGTTTAAGATTGGCATAGTAACTTATCATGGCTGCTTGTTATTTTGTATTTCTCTTAGCTTACCAAGTAAAAGTACTCATTTAATACCGGCCCAGAACTGACTGGAGTCAAATCTGTACCTCATTGTAGAGCTACCCTTCTAGTGTCCATACTTGTGTTGGCATCATGTTAACCTTCAGTGTTCTCTCTTTGCTTTTCCAGGCTGCCCAGGTGCCTAAGAAGAAAAAGTCCTCCGATTCCCTGGATGCCTCTACGCTTAGTAATGTAAGGCTGACACTAATATTATATTCTAAGAACATTACAGTGGCACAGACTGAAAATGAACCCAGGTGTAACAGTGATCTGGGTTCAGATAACTGTGCCTACAGTACTGTGGTGCATTTAAGCTTATTGCATGTCTCCTGGTGACTATGTGATAAAACCCTTGTACCAACATACTGTATGAACTCTGGGAAATCAAAGTTCCCCTCTCTACCAGAAAGAGCATCTTGTTATTGTATTCATGTATTCCACACACTACACACTGCCTTACATCCAGATAATGAAAACATAAGAGTTGTTCAGGAGAAGTCAAACAGCAGGACTCGACTTAAGAAGAATACTAACAATAGCAAAAACATCATTAAGCAAAATCCAATTCATCCAGCAGAAAAATGTAATGACGGAGGGGCCAATAGGTCCGTTGCCAAGGCAGTGCGGGTAGATAGCAGCAATTTGAAATCTCTCCGTTCATATGATCCGGTCTGTATCTGCCTACAGCGTGCTTAGTGCCGCCGGAGCACTACAGGAAAAAATCATCTTTTTTCATTCAGGTTCCACACTCATGCCGCCTTTTCCCGTGCTGAAATCCACTGTTGTCGATGAGCCTATTGTTCAGCAACGACGCCGGTGCTGAGTCAAATAAAACGTTTCCAATTTCTTTCTGCGCAGAGAGAGAACACACATCTCCATACAGATAGAGCACGATATACGATAATGAAACTGCTTTGTTGAAAGACTTTGAATATATCAAACTATCCATATTTTATGAATATTAAAGATCCCATGCCTTGGCCATTTCTACTGATCATAATTCCATTGTTGAGGTCTACTAGAATAGATTGACATTGTTCAATGCTACAAACTCACATTGGTTTCTCACAGCGTCTCTGTAGAGTAAGTGTATTCACTCTGTCCTACGAGGCTTGTTGGAGCTCCTGCCCCCCCCCCTCCCTGTGGGCCCAGTGTGCTCTGATTGGTCAGCTCGCCCACTCTGTTCTGATGAGTCTACCACCGTTACAGCGGAACATCAGTGATTATGTTTTAAATGGCGTTTGTTAGCAACCAGGAAATGACACCAGTAATGACAAACAGATGAGAATGCTGCGTGGGGTCTGGGTGCCATGTTGCGCGGCTCGCTGCTGCGAGGAGGGGACAGTGTGAACTGGGTTCATTTCCTGCTTGCTGCGTGGGGTCTGCGAGACAACGCGAATGGACGCGGGAAGGGGGGGTGCTGAGGGGGCTGCAGCACCCCCATCTGCGAGGCTCCACTAGCGCCCGCACCCCCAAACACGGCGCACCTACAGTGTAAGCACTGTAAAAACCTTCATAACACACAGGTAATAACAGGAAAAGCAGGACATGGGACCTTTAAGTATTTATCGTCTCGTACATGTTCACATTGTTTGGTTATACAACAGCGATTGAGCTATAAAAAAAAAACCCTTGGAAAGCTGTACTGATGTCCCTGGTGACCCAACGCTAACGTACTTTGCTGATTCTGTCTGGAGGGTGAATGACAGCGGTATATTCAGTAGATATTTAAATAAAGATATTTCACATTTGTAATAGAGGTAGATCATTAGGACATGGTCATTTTTAAAAGAAGCTGAAAAGGTGTGGGCACTTCTGGGCTACATCATGAATTACAAGTGATAACAATTTTCTACACAAAGATTCTAATAATTCTTTATATTGTATACTTGTATGGATAATGTTGTTCTTAGAAATGTTAAGGGCTACACAAAGTGTCACCAATTCTATTCAACAGAGAAGCACCCATGGAAATGTCCTTCCTCTTTTGTCTTTGTCTCCAACATGTGATTAGGCTAATGCAGGGTCACTTTTATGCTAATGAGTTCCTCTCCCATTTCAGGACGCCACCCCAGTGTGCACCCCCTCCGTCCTGGAGAGGAGGAAGTCCACGTTCAACGACGATGATGCAGATGACGAGATCGTCATTAGGATGCCGGCTGTAGACAAAGACGAGGAGGGCTCCTCCTCAGAGGAAGAGCATGAGGAGCCTGGTGAAGAGGAGGCAGAGTGACGTGCTCTGCGTCACTGTGGACTTGGTTCTCTGGCTCTAGACATCAGGATCATCTTTGTACTGTGATCAGATGTCATAGTCCGTCTTTCAGTATGTGGAAGTCACAATACATGAGAGAAAGGCGTTCGCATGAAGGGTTCCACCATTATAATTGGTATTACATCAGAGTGACCAATGGAGGGGCCTGCAGCATGGTCACATGAGCCTGGGTAATGGACAGTTGTGAAAGGACTTTCCTATGCCTTACAGGGCAAATACTTTTCTGTTTGCTTTATGCACACTTGTCTAAAAGCGTGGTTCAATTTGTAATATGTAAACTATGATCTTTAAAAATAAATGATGTAATAATGTACTCTGGAGCAGTCCTTCTGCACTTGCATACACAAGGGCACTGCTATAAGCCTTTTAATGCAGCAGGAAGAGCATGTGCAGAAGAATGAATGATGGATGAGTCCATTTGCTGCTCATTGTTCTGCTTACTTGTATCCAGTGTAGGAAAAGTATTAAGATCCTTTACTACAGTAAAAATACTAATACCTAACTGTGAAAACGTACTTACCGTTTATAGTACTGCACTGGAAACCTTGAGCCAAAGTATGCATGTATGATAGGCTAAATGTTCTTAAAGTGAAGTATGGATTGTTCAGTAAATTGATCTTTCTTGCTGTCCTATGGAAACCATGTTTTAGAAAGTCAAGTTTCTCAGAAAAACAGCCGCTCTGAAGATTTTATTAAGCTTCAATTCAAGCAGAATTCTCAACACATAAAAGGATCTCCTTACCCTTCAGTTCATCACAAACATTCCAAATCAACCCAAATGGCTCCATGCTTTCACTGGACACAAAAGGTGTCATCTGAAAGTAAAAATGTAAACATAAAAATAGATGTACTACTGAAAAGTACAGTCATATCATAAAAGTACTTGGTTACATTCCACCACTGCTATTTGGCTTTTATCTATGCAACAGTTAGGCTTTTTGTGTGGAAACTTCCATTGTATTACATTTAGAGACACAACATGTCCAGTAGGTGTCGCTAGAGGTCAATTATTCACATCCATGACATCGACAGGATCTTTTTGCATTGCCATGCGACAAGTGCCAACATCATCCCTGTATCCACTGCGCATGCGCACGACGATCCCATTCTTGTCCTGCAGGCAGCATTCCGGGTGGAGAGAGTGAGTGAGAGAAAGAGAAAGACAGAAGAGATTTCAGGCCGTACACTGTATATGTACAGTAAGACAAACGAGCTGTATGCCCCAACACACCGCGGCGTCTAAGCAGGATATGGTAAGTAGAAAAATGAACGTTGTGAGCACACCTCGCCTCCTTGTCACCTTTTCTCCTCTTTGTGCTGCCTGTCTGAACTGACGTTTAATTGAAAGGAAGGGCTTCGCTAGGGGCTAGCTTTAGCTTTGATTCCTCACAGACAGTACACACCTACTGTCTGCTACAGTAGAAAGGCTGGCTAAATGAGTTAGAGAAAAACAAAGAAAATGAATGTTTCAGAGCCACAGGGGAGAATGACAGGGCAAGCTTTTGTTTAGCGTTAGCAGTATGTAGCTGTCACTGCGCTCCTTCGGGGTGGCACTGCTAGCAGTGATGGTCAGGTTGTGAGCTAGCAGGAGCTTAGCTAGCGTTGTAAAAAAAAAAAGGTGTGCATGCTCGTGCGTGTGCGCGTGGCAATATAGACACCAAGCATTGTGTGACCAGGATGAGAGAGTAGGTCTGGTTCATATTGGACAAGAGGATTATAATCAATGTTAGGGGAAATACATGTTGGCAGTTAGAGATTCATAAATATGGACCTATTACATTGTTAGTAACATGTATTAGAGCACACAGTACACATACATACCATTTTCAATGAAGATCACACCAAAATCACGTCATATATTTTGTAATGATATCGACAATAATGATGTTACAATAACAATTCCCTTTAATATTGTGAATGATATTGTCATTGCAATATCAGTCATCATAATAACAAGTTATGTTGTCCACATTGTGCTGCTCTACTCTCACACTGTCATCATTGCACACACAGTGAGGTACAACATCTTCAGCTACATGCCCAATACATCATTTCCTTTATTAAATGTAGCATTATAAAAGACATATTTTCAACGATAACAAGACATTTGTTTCCTTCTTTTCCACATACACAAACATATGTCAAGAAAGAAAGGGACAACACACTTTATAGAAATAAACAAATGAAGGGAAACAATCATTAATAGTCCCTATGTACATTTCATTTGGTTGTACTGCTTCTCCCGGCAACGTGTGTCTTTGTGGTCTTTGCTAATGAACTAACAAATACATTCAACACAACTATTGTTGCTAACTCATTGAAAGGGAAACTTCTAACACCAGTTATTGTTTCAACAATATGATTGCAGTAAAAGAACAAATGAGTTATGTCTCAAAGAAGGTGATAGTTTGGTGAATGTAGCCTGTATAACTGCTTCAAGCATGCAGGTCTGACTCTCAGCTCCCGGACAGAGGCCCTCATCTGATGGAGGTTGCTGAAGCACTCCTTTCTGCTTAGATAATGTTGCTACACAAAAGGCCTGGGGTTATTTCAAGAGAAGAAGTGCAGTCAGCTTATGATCGAGCTGTTTGGAACTGGAGCAAGTAAACAGTAACCTCCTTGTGTCTTTGCTGCTGACGCCTCTCCGCCCTGTGTGTCTACAGCGGTAGTGGGCTGTCGGAGATTTAGGAGTGTTGTTGGGTTGTGGGATTAATACAGAGTGTTGATTTGACTGGTCATTTTGTTTTGGAATGTTAATTTCCCTTTAATGTTTGATTATATTCCAGAAAGGATCTGTGTTATTTGAGCAGCGCTGGCTATAACTCATCAGTGTCTGGTACTGTGTGGCTTTTTAGTCGATACTACTTACTGTTATTGTAGGATATCATTTCTGTTGTGGACAAGAAGAGTCCATATACTTTTGGCGAGATCATGTATAACCCTTTTATAACACTTTGTGCTTAACGCTGTGAAATAAAATGAGAGTGATGAAGTGTTCCAGGAGTAAGCAATAATGAAGGGACTTCCTAATGAATGTAATCCCTGTCCTTTCTGCCCCACTAGGGCTCTCCAGGGCAGATCCCGGGACAAGACATGGAGCTCTAAACCAGCCCTCTCCATCCATCTCCATTTGCTGCCTTGCACACTGCTCTCCAAAACCACCTCTTCTACCCCTGCTATAGCGGTTTGGCTCCGACTCGTCAAAGAGAGAAAAGAGGGAAGAAAAAGCCAAGTGGGAGGGAGTAGTACACTTTCCCCAGCTGCTGTCCAGACACACACATGCTGCATTGCTGCCATTCCCCAAGCCCTGCTCCATCCATCCCTAGGGCACGGCCACTAGCTCACTAGCTAGCTAGCTAGCACTTGGCACAAAGACGAGGCCTGTCCTCGGGGATAAAAATACAAGCAGACTGTGTACCCTTGCTGATTTCTTTTTTGTCCCTTTTCCGGGTCACCCAGCCGGACAGTGGTTAACTGGGGCTCTTTTTGTTTAGCTGTCAATCCCACTGCTTTGAGCAGTGAACGATTGCTGGTAGCCAGTCAGTCAGTCAGTCAGTCAGTCAGGCAGTCACTTAGTCAGGCAGTCACTAAGTCAGGCAGACTGAGGGGTTGGTTATCCCAGAAGAGAATGATGGAGCCCAGCATGGAGAACTGCCTGACCCAGGTCCTGCAGAAGGACATGGGCCGCCGGCTGCAGGTGGGGCAGGAGATCATTGATTATATTCTGGACAAGGAGAAGTCCCATGACCTGGAGCAGGACCAGACAGTGCTGGACAAGATGGTCGACGGCATCGCCAGCACCTGGGTCAACTCCAGCAACTTCAAGGTGAGCTGCACTGACATGGAGGTAGTATACAATTGACAGGTAAAGGAATGAGTCCTAAGACCTGGGAATGAGTCAGCATTTGACTTCTATTGGTTCCTTCAATGTCAAAGTCAATGTTTTTTAAGACATGTTTTTAGTTAGATGCCTGACATTTAGATTTAGAAAGAGATTTTCATGTTTTTTTCTAAAACGTAAACTACGTGAGTAATTACCACTGGAGCTTCTATGTGTCATCAAAACAGGTTGCTAACAAGTGGCTAAATGAGACTGCTAAACGTCATCCTGTCGAATAACGCAGCCACGATTGATTTAGTAAAGAGCTTAATGTAAGCTTTTTACCTACAGCGATTGCATTTATCCATCAAAATGATACAAAGTGGTGTTAATATGTGACAAGTTTCCTGCTAAATAAAACGTGTAAGGATCATAAACGCGCATTTGCCAAAGATCTTACTTCCTTAATCAAATGAAAATATCCAAATCCTTTTGTTGGAAGGAGCCCTAGACTGCGGGTCGGCCTAAGAACTACGTCCTCACTGCACCACTAGCTTCCCACACACCTGCTGCTACTCTAGTTTCAGCCTTTACTGAGCCAAAAGCATGGACCACGCATTTGCATTCTGATTTACACGAAAGTACAGTACCAAGCTCTCTTGATACACTTCTTATCCTTCTAATTGACAACTCAGTTCTGCCGTTTGCATTGTTGTTATGCCTTCAGTTGATTATGAAATGTCTGTTATGGCTCATTCCTCTATGCATTTGGTTTGAGATGAAGGGTTCAGACTTACAAACCCTATGATTCAACGTATATCAGTCAGTAAGATGTGGTCTGTTTTCAAAATCAAAGCAGGGCAGAACATGGCAGCTTTCTCCACGTATTATGCATTGGAATGAAATAGAGCAACTTGAAAACATCTTTGCTGAAGTGTAAGACTTTTGCAGAATTCTTGTCTTTGTTTGGACTGCACTTCCATATCATTGTACAGTCATATAATGGCTGTTTGTCGAAGCAGCAATCTCCAGTTTTTCAGTTTTTGTGACCCTGTGTGCAACAAAAGCAAACATGTCCTCATGCTGGAAAGGCACATGACATTATTATTTCCCTGTGCTATAGAGCAGGCCCACATTCTTCTTCTCTGATTGATTGTGCTTTATTTTGGATTTCAATCTAGGGCAACATTTAATGTGACCCTGACTGAAAACACCAGCAGTTCTTCCAGTGCCCCAGCCACAGGTTGCTCTCTCTGTTAGAACATATTGTTTTCTAAAGCTCTGATTTCATGTCAGGATATGCTGCTTTTGCTCTGAGTGGGCCTAACACATCAGAGATATCTGTCTGAACAAAGCCCAGCCTGCCCCCGGTGCCCTACATACTGTGGCTCAGCACGGCTTTTCTCTCTGCACTCTCACTGCTGTGACGCCATGTTGTGATGTGCATGGTACTTTGTGTGTGCTTCAAGTGACCATATGTGTCGCACTGCTCTAGATCTGGCCTGGTTACACCTCCAGGTACTGGAAGGTCCAAACCGTTAGAGTTAATACTTTGGGTTTCAGACAAAGCTACTTACATTGAGCCAAACGTATCTCTGGCCTTGAAAAAGATCGGTTTACATTTTAATAATCAAATAAGTATGTGAACATAACCAATAACCTACCATAGCCAATAACAAATAAATGTAACTTATTTTATTTTTGTTGTTCATTAATATCTTATTTTACCTTAACATTTATTAATTTATGCATATTTTTGTATCTCACCAACTTTAAACAATATGTTTGGTTTACTGTCCTATAGTATACATTGGAATGGTTTCAAACCTGCTTTTATTTATCCTAATAATTGTAAAGGAGTGCCTTGGAAATATGTGTTTACATAATTTGTAAACACATATTTGTTTGAGACCCACTGAGATAACTTAGACTAAAATTAACTATCTAAACACTCAGAGTCCTTTACCTCACTGAGCCTCTCAGTCTGACAGGAGAGCTCTCCTCCACCCTGGCTGTAGAAACATCTACTTCTTATATCCGTTAGCGCAGCTAGCACCAGATTCTAATAACAACAGCGCCGGTACCGGTGCGCCCTCTCGCTCCCATGCTCACACTTTGGCTGTGAGCTGCGAGCGCCTGATAAGCCAACATCCCCCACTTTCATCACTTACCGGCCCTGCCAGTACATATAGTGGCAATGTCTCAAGATTTAGCAAAAATACACCTTTATTGAACATACAGTAACACAAATCCACATAAAAACGAAAAAGGGTCGCCACTTATTATTATTTTAATTAAAAAAAACAAGTTAAACCTGGGAACCTGGCTGACGCCCCCTAGCAGCGGCGCGCATTTTTCAGCAGTGGCGCTGCACCGCCGCTATTTGTATTTAGGGGAAACACTGATACTATATAGTAATGTAACGTAAAATGGCATTTAACTGTCGAGGTATTTAGCTGATGAGAGATTTGAGTTGCTTTAGCCTGTAGGAGCTAGTAAGCCTACTATTTGTTTTTGATAGGCACATCATGTTTCAGACCTTATTTTCCTGTTCCATGTTCAAATAAACCATTTGCAGTGGTACCGCTGAGAAGAGTCTTTTTTTTTTTTGGTCATGGAAAATGAGGTAACGGTCATGGAGAAGTCATTGAAAATCATTGGTGAAAAAGTGTATGAACCCTGGTTGGGTCAACAGGGACAGTATCCTCAGCACAGGCATAGCTGATCACTTGGCAACTAATGTGGGAACTATTTAGTTTGAGAGAGGGGGTGATGAATTCACTCACCATAAATGGTGCTTTGAGCGGATGCGTCTAATACCAAGCAACTGTTTAAAGAAAGTTCTTTATAGCGTTTTACACTCTTCTTACCTAAAGTTCAGAGGGCCAGTCCGAGGGCTTTCCTTGCTGCACATACCTTTTGTGTTTGGATAACAAACACTGGATGGTTGTACTGTCATACTGCTGAGCTGACAGGTCAAGTGAAGGTCCCACATTCTCAGAGGAGGCGTACTCTTCCTTGTATATCTCTTCCCAGAAGGGGTTCAACACTTCCTCATGCTAACAGTACAAATACGTTTAGGTCTATAACAAAAGTATTCCATTTGTCCTTGAAGAAAATGAATTTGTTTCTACAGCAACTCATGTACTGTGTCTGAAGCGGTGATGCAAAGCCTGGGTGCACAGGGTGGACGGTTAACATTACACTTTGTTTGCATATGTTGACTGACAGTATACTAATGTGTGTTAGTGTCATGTGCCCTTGGTAACCCACTAGTGTTGCACGGTGTACCGATACTTGAAAGGTACCGCGATACCCTGCCGTTAAAAACGCTACGATTCCTCCGTTTCATTAGTATCGGTACTTTAAGAATGACGGGGGAAAGTACTCTGGTGAGAAAGCGCCGTTTTAATAAGAGCCGTGTGTGTTCAGCGCTCTGCTTCCACTCCCTGCACTGCAGCCGTGCCTGCAGTCCCTCCCCTCTCAAGCACGCTCTAAGTCCCTCCCCTCTCAAGCACGTTCTAAGTCCCTCCCCTCTCAAGCACGCTCTAAGTCCCTCCCCTCTCAAGCACGCTCTAAGTCCCTCCCCTCTCAAGCACGCTCTAAGTCCCTCCCCTCTCAAGCACGCTCTAAGTGCCTCCCCCTCTCAAGCACGCTCTAAGTGCCTCCCCTCTCAAGCACGCTCTAAGTGCCTCCCCTCTCAAGCACGCTCTAAGTCCCTCCCCTCTCAAGCACGCTCTAAGTCCCTCCCCTCTCAAGCACGCTCTAAGTGCCTCCCCTCTCAAGCACGCTCTAAGTGCCTCCCCTCTCAAGCACGCTCTAAGTGCCTCCCCTCTCAAGCACGCTCTAAGTCCCTCCCCTCTCAAGCACGCTCTAAGTGCCTCCCCTCTCAAGCACGCTCTAAGTGCCTCCCCTCTCAAGCACGCTCTAAGTCCCTCCCCTCTCAAGCACGCTCTAAGTGCCTCCCCTCTCAAGCACGCTCTAAGTCCCTCCCCTCTCAAGCACGCTCTAAGTGCCTCCCCTCTCAAGCACGCTCTAAGTCCCTCCCCTCTCAAGCACGCTCTAAGTGCCTCCCCTCTCAAGCACGCTCTAAGTCCCTCCCCTCTCAAGCACGTTCTAAGTCCCTCCCCTCTCAAGCACGCTCTAAGTGCCTCCCCTCTCAAGCACGCTCTAAGTGCCTCCCCTCTCTCGTGCACGCGGCCACGCGCTAGCTGCCAGAGCATGTGAGAAAGCGAGAAGCATGGCTGCAAGTGGGAGTGCAGCTGCTGCTGCGCCTCGGCTTGTTGACAAAAAAGACGCCAGAAGCGAAATGTGGAAGTATTTGAGCGATATCTCTGACAGTGAGGGCAAGCCTACGGACACCACGAGGTCTGTCTGTGAGACATGTTTTAGATCCCTGCAAACCAAGGGAGCCAACACATCAGACTTGGCTAAGCACCTCGCCGACCGGTGTTGCAGTATAACGTGAGTCATGACAACTGGCGACATTCTATTATTTTGGTCATAGGAATCGGGGGCGTGTACATTGAGGACCCATTGTTGATTCACCATGTCGATCGCCTCGTTTGTCCTTTACGTTCATCTTTTGCTATATCTGCCTTCCTAAGATAACGTTGATGCACATTCAGTACTCGTATGTGAGGTTGTGGGTGAGAGGTGGATATCGTGACGCTTACAGGGAGGTATCGAACATTACAAAGTAGGTGACTGTGTGGATGCCTGTTCAAAATATTGCAAACTTGAATAAATCATTTAAATGATATATTTGTGTCCGACTTTCATTTGTACATCGTTCTTAATGTGATGTATAGTAGCTTTGATAGCTGTCCATACCTTCAGACAGCCTAAAAGTAAAACACAAGTCGTTTATTCACAGCCCGAACGCTCATTGACATGACTGGATCACTCATGACAAGTTGTGATCAGCTCCGATTAAATTGTGATATCAATGCTGTAGCTATTCTCCAGGGAGCACGTTTTTTTAATGAAATACCTGTATCCCTCTC